TACACGACGCTCTTCCGATCTCCCCAAAACCCCAAAACCCCATTATGCTGATTCAATAATAAATAAGAAAAGTAAAAATAAAAGTTAACTTACTAAAAGAATTATTATTGAAATATGTGCCCTTTTAAAAATGTCTTGCTTGTCAATAAAACTACTAAGCTGCAAAGACATCTTAAATTGGGTTTAACATTCACTCCATAGATAGAAAAGCACTTCAAAAAATAATGGTATTTCTTTTAGAAAATTTAAATAATCATAATAGGGAGATAAGTAATGATAATCACTAAAGAGTAGTAGAAGAGATCTATAGATAAATAAGATTAAGAGGAATTAAAATGGACATTATTAGAGATAATGACCTTGCTTAGAAAGACTTTCAAGATAGAGACTTAATTGTTTCAATAGGTAAAAATCACAATGAAGCTAATGGATTGATTCTGTAGGAAGTGATAGCACTTATTTAAGAGTGGCAGGTTTTATAGATAACATGAATTAAACACTTCTTGGAGTGGATAGTGATACAAGCAGAGACAATGAGGCTTTGTGCAATATCTCAATTCCGGTGGATCAGTGTGAGGCAGCTGTTGCTAAAATGATGACTAACTTGGAAGCAAACAAATTTTAGCAATTCCTGAGAAACAGGGCATTATTTTCAGTAGTTAAGACAAAGGCTAAACCTTAGAATGTAGAAAAGTTAATCCTTAATGAGGTGTTTGTGGCTGACCAGGATGTTCAGTGACCAAGTGTGTACAGAGCTTATGTAGATGGTAGAGACATGGGATAATTCAAAAGCAGTGGCATTATTATCTCAACAGGGACAGGATCATCGGGATGGCTATTTTCAGCTAGAAAAATCAATCCAGAGGATATTCGAGCTGTACAACTTCTATATGGATGTGAAGAAGTTTCTGAATCTGTAAGTTCATTATACTTTTTTGAGATAATACTTTTTTCTAAACTAATAATCATAAAATTCTATAGGTAAACAGGAATCTAGCTTCATTGATAAACAGCACATATGTATTTCCTTACGACTCAGATTAGCTCTACTACTACGTTCGAGAGGGTTATGTTCGTCATGATAACTCCTTCTCCTGGAGATCAGAGGGTTTTTGCAAAGAAATTAAGATAGTCAACGAGATTATTGAAGGTCGCATTCTTATAGATGGGTACTATAATTATAGTCTTGAGATCGGTGAATAATTCAAAATTAAAACAGCCCCTGACAGGTCTCTTAGATGTTTAAGGTTTTTGTGAATGTTTTCTTAATGACAAGAAGTATTTTATTCTAAAATACCAGAAGTAGTGTGAATCAACGATGAAAGGCAAATATTCCTTATACACAGGAATTTGTAATTGAATTATTTCAGTGTCAAACAGAATAATGAGATTGCCACTGATTGGGGTTTTGGGGTTTTGGGGTTTTGGGG